TAATAATAATAATAATAATAATAATAATAATAATAATAATAGGTTAGTGGCATTAAGTAATTCTATTAATAGTATAATATATACATTTTTAAGGGGAATAACATTTTGGTGTGCCATGTTGAGTTGTGTCGAGTTATAGGTGTGCCGCGAGTAGAAAAAGGTTGTGGAACACTGCACTAAACAATTGAATAGATTTAAAATTTGTGTACAGAGGCATGAGAGGGCTGAATAAAGCTCATAATTAGTTTTTTTTTGTATTTTCTTTTAAACTTATGGGGGATTTAACTGAATTTTTTTAGGACAAAATAAATAAATGCCATTTTTTAGACTTTAAAATTTCTTAACTTTTTAACTGAATTTTTAAACATTTATCCAAATTTTCATCTTTCTAAATTTTTGGGGTTGAACTCTCATTATTCTACTACTTATTGACCTGAGAAATTTGGAATAAAATCCAGGTGAGTAACCACAGGAGGTAGTTCATAGTGGGTTGTCCCTCACATCTAGCCCTTCCCATTTTCAGTCTGACTGAATTCATGATAAAAATGGAAAAAAAAAGCTGTCTTATTAACCACAGAGCAAAAAAAAAATTATTATATAATTCAAACCCTAGCTTTATACAAATTAAAGTATTTTAAAAAGTAAAATAATATTTGAAATATCATAAAACTCACCTTTTCTAATTGTCTATGAGCTGATATCTGATATAATCGTATTATTCCATCTAATAATTCTATACAGGCTTCATAATCATCTTTTTCTCCAAATTTTATTGTTTTATCTGGTAACTTTGAATTTTCTGCATTTTGAAATTTAGTATAATAAATTAAAATAAAATAGTAATAAAGATAAATTTATTTACACAAATATATATTATTACTACAAATTAAGTGGCCAGAAATAAAAAAAATCTTAAATATTTGGTATATTATAACTATTTTGTGAATTTTGGCAAAAATAATATATAATGATTTCTGAAAGTAAAAAATTATACCAATTTGATGATTCATATCAATCTTAACTGAAATCTTAATTATTTGAAAACATTACATTCTGTAAAAAAAGCTTTACCTGACTAGAGCAAATCTAATTTACTTATAGTACAGGTAGGCTTCCTACAACGCGGTAGATACGTTCCTTGAAAATACCGCGTTGTGGGAAATCACGTTATAGGAGACACCAACTCAATACAAAAACTGGGATTCGGTTCTAAAAAGAGAAAAACTTGGCATTTGAATGGCGTTTTTAAATTTTTCAAACCAGCCATTGGTAGCCACGAATTTAACACTGGTTTCATCAGCTGACCAGTGGCATAGCATAGTGGGGTCGGCACTTTTAGGGGGCGGCAAAATTTCACAATAAATAATAATAATAATATCTTGTAAAAATTTGAACCATTTCATTTCATATTTTTATCGCACCTACGATTCGGACCGATTGAAATGAGCACGGAATTGTTCATTACTTATTCTGTGACAAAACTGAATTTTAGTCTTTTAAATTGAGATACCTAAATAAGGGGGCAGTAAAATTTTCCTCCGCCCCGGGCGGCTGACACCCACACTACGCCACTGCAGCTGACGACTGTCCCATTTGTTTTAAATAATCAAATATTTTTAAGGCTTTGTGTTTAAGTGCAGTTTTATTTAAAGGCAACCGTTTCTTGTTCATATCTTCTACCCATAATATTAGCGCTTGTTCCATTTTTTACATTATAGGTGCTCTTGGACTAGCAACATTTTTCGCAAGAATAGATGATCCGGATGCAACCAAATTTCTAATCTTTTCTCCCGATTGCTTAATCAACCTATAGTCGACTCATTTAAATTAAAATGAATACTAATACCAGCTATCCACTCTTGATTTTTAATTCAATCCAAAATTTCTATCTTTGAAGAGTTATAAATTTCCTTTTTAACGACGGTCCTTTCTTTTCATTCGGCATTGTTATGGCTAAAATTTTTTCAATNACAACTCTGCTGCTAATGTAAAAGTACATGTACTGTACCGAGGCAAAACACTACCAAAAAACTTGAGAGACATTGTGATGATGTCACAATAAATAATTGCTTGTTGGAATAAAAAAAGTACCATTCAGAAATGAACAACCTTAGTTGTGGAAAAATAAATAGACTTTTCACAGTGTAACACTTTCCATTTTGCACAGGCAAGTGCGAAATGTCCTACCTGTCACGGTAATTGTATAATAGCATGTCTATTTTGTGCTATATCATTGTCACAGTTATTTTTATCATATAAATAATCCTTTGAAAAATCATCAGTGAGAATATTTCTCTTTAGCCAATATAAAACTGGACAAGACACAAAAATATGCATTAATATACAATTGCGATTGGTAATACAATACAGGCAATAATGCCCCTTAGAAATATCTATATACTGACCACTCAGCATAATCTGGTATTTATTAAGACATAATTGCATTAGCAAACTTTTCATAGGAAATCCAATACTATAAATTTAAGTAATTAGTGGTCTGCTAACCTGCACTAATTTCATAAATATTATATCGCTGAAGTGAAGTATAAGTTATATCTTGATGCTGTAATTGATCACATCTAGTTTGTATTATATCACACAAATAAGTTCTCAACTGTAGCTGTGAATGATTTGAAAATACAAAATAATGGCCTTTATATATATAGATATAAAGGAAAAATAATTATGGTAAATTTCTTGGATCTTGACTCAGTTTATGTTTAATTTAGTTTGATAATCATTTTGATCTGATCATAGTTTTCTGTTTCTGAAATATATTGTATATATTTTATATAATATAGTATTATTAAGTACTGGGCTTGGATGTCAGCCAACAGTTATCTCCATCAAAACTTCTTCCAAAACTTCAGACTATGAGGCATTAAATATAATTAAAAATATTTTAATCTTGCGAGCGCTTTTGACGTAAATATGCACGTCGTCTTCAGGCAATTCAAAATCGAATAGAGAATTCGAACCATACATTTAAATTTAAACATTAACAATATTAACCGTTTTTTGAATATAACTATTATAAATAAGGTTTAAATTTTAGAATTAAAAACATTTAAAAATATTTAAAATTGGTACGCATGCATTTTAAAACAAATAAACTTCGATTGGAATGGCTATTAATTATTTTGTAGACGTAAAAAACTGGCGCGCGTGCACCTTAACATGCATAACATAAGAGCCAATTAGGGTGGCTATTAAGAACAAGTAAATTTTACATTTTAAATTTAAATTAAAAACCCTTTGTAAACACGTATAAAATTTTTTGGCACGCATGCGCCTTAACATAGACAGCATAGAAACCGAACAGAATAGATCCATAAGTGCTACTTTACATTAATATTTAAATATTAAAGACTAAAGCATGGGACATAATTTAAAATACATAAAACACGTAAAAAGACGCACATAAAGAGGCCAACACGTATGCGCTTTGAGTCATGTAGGAGGTGCGGGAAAAGAATGTAAAATTATTGTTGATTTTTTAACCGCCTGTATAAATTAATCCAGACGTCCGGTAAGTCGAGGGTAGGGGAGTTGCACGGGGAGAGCAGTTTTGTGAAAAGGACCTCCCAAATATATATCAAGCTCCCTTCATCACTGCGTTTGAGTATTTCCACTCGATTCCAAAGTGCTATGTGGTGTTGTTGTATCATCAATTTGAAAAGTTCTGTGTTGCAATTGCCAAGTGCCACCGAATGTTGGTGTTCAGATATGCAGGCAGCCAGCATTCTGGTAGTCACTCCTATATAATTGGTGCATAGTCCTTTTGAAATTAATTAAAGTGAAACGCAAATCATTGGCGGAAGCTGAGCTTAAGTTATATGTTGCCCATCTGCAATTTGCCAAATCTTGTGACCCGGTTTCACTCTACGACCAACTAGGAAAGATTCACAGCATGGCATCAAAATTTGCACGAGATGAAAGAGATAAACTAAACAAGAAATTCAAATGGCTTTGTCATGCAGCATGCAAACAACAAAATCCGGTGCAGCCAACCCAATTTCACAATTACACCGAGGAAATTGTTCCATCTCGAATTGAGAAGATTTTACAACAGGGACCCAGATATATCCCTCTGCCACAAAATATGAGCGCCGCAGAAATGGTTCCAGCAACTCTTGCAGCACTCAAGTGCTGCCAAGCGGCAACAAAATATCCGCAAATGGAGCTATCAATCATCTCAACACTAGCCTCAGTAAGACAAAGTCCCGCTCGACAAAACAAAGTCCCAGTGGCCACTCTGTGAGACAGTACTTATCAAGTTCCAACATGAGACTTCTGATATCAGACAAAGACAAGAAGTTCATTCTATGCAGGGAGGAAGACTTCCTACGCAGGGCCACAAACTTTCTCAACCAGTCGCAAGCTGTCATCTTGCCGGAAGACCCAACACCAGCCGTGTTAAGAAAAACAAAGAAAATAATTACTCTCCCAGGGGTTACTTCAGTTCTTTTGGGACGCCTGGACCCCCCATCCAACGTCACTTGTCCCAGACTTTTCTTTGAAGCAAAAACACACAAAGAGAGCTGGCCGTTAAGGCCTTTAGTCAATAAGCAGTCCCACCCTACATACTTTCTTGAAAAAGCGCTTACTAGATTGCTAGATGGGCTACTTCCTTCCTCCTCCCAAGTAGTGTCCTCATCTGTCACGGCTAACGAGAGGTTATGCGCTACGCTGGCTGGCTTGAGTCCAGATACTTACACATTTTATAAAATGGATGTAGTTGCATTGTACCCTTCGGTACCGCACTTTGAAGCGGTGATGCTAGCCAATACCTTACTTATCAAAGAGGGCTTTACTGCACAGCAAGTTTTAGAAGTTCGCAAAGCATTACTCTTTATTATGGAGCACAATTACTTCTGCTTTAATGGAAAGATTTACCTGCAGAAGCAGGGGATGCCAATGGGCTCACCACTGTCAGCTGTATTGGCAGAACTCATCATGCGGCACGTTGAACACAGCATTTTTAAATTTCCTCTCACCATAGCTTACCCCTTAATTTATTTAAGATACGTAGATGATATTCTTTTGGCATGGCAGGATACGGAAGACTCCTTCTGGGTATTAGAACACCATTTATTAAAAATGTATGCCACTATACACTTTATGTGGGAGAAGGAAGTTGGGAGAAAAATTGCTTTCTTGGACTTGCACATTCAAAAATCCTAGGAAGGCTTGAAGTTTTCCGTCTATCACAAATTTGGCAATATCCCACCCATAATACCGGCCACAGCCTGTCAACCACAGCAATATGTTAATGCGGCCATAGCTCCCTTGATCAGATGGGAATTCTTACTACCATCGACACAACATCTTATCAATACTGAACTGGAAGCTGTCCGCACAGCGGTGTACGCTGTGGGATTTAGTGCCTCCAAATACATCCATGTTAAAAATAGAGTNTTTGCAGACACACTAAGGTGACATATATCAACACTTGGCAACTTATTGACTATTTATTCAGTTGGTACCAACTGAATAAATAGTCAATAAGTTGCCAAGTGTTGATATATGTCACCTTAGTGTGTCTGCAAAGAAACAGTAATATATTTCAGTAGCCCAAGACATAGCCAAAGATTGAAGCGCCACAGCACTGGTGAAAATTTAAATTTGCCGACTGGAATTCTTTCGGATGATTGACTTTCGGAAAATCGACGCTCTACTGTATAAAAAAAAAACTAATTATGAGCTTTATTCAGCCCTCTCATGCCTCTGTACACAAATTTTAAATCTATTCAATTGTTTAGGCATTAATATCTTTTTCAGTCAAATGTTTATTAAATCAATCTGGTAGAAAAACCACGATTGCCATACTGGATTGACTTTATGGATTGGATATTCATAATCAATTTTTTTGTTGGGAGTATTTTGAAGTTTACCATTTATTACAAATTCTTGCAAGTAAAGAAACTATCAATCTCTTTTTATTTCATAATGTCCTAATGCCAATGTGTTAATTCCATCCTCCAATATATGTCTCTTATCATCATGTGGCAATAAGGTCTTCTTGTTTACTTTTATTGAATAAAGTTCATGTTTCTTGCTTCTAATTAGGTTCATTGTTTGGGAATGCTCTGTTTTATTAAACAAACAGTCTTTATAATCATTAAATGATATCCTATTTTTAACAACACATTTCTTTACTCCTTTTGATTTCTTTGTAACCTGATCTTCTACTTTAAAGGCATACATTTTTGCTCTTAAACCAACAAATTCTCTCATTATTTTTCCATTATTTTCATTCTTCATTTTATCTAACACCTTCTTATTAACTCTCGGTATACCATATTGATTATTTTCAGGATAATCGGATGTATCAAAGTAATCAATCATTCCCTTCATGTCTTGATAAATATCATCTGTTTTTATATCATATATGTAACTGTCCGTATCCTGATATAACAGTTTTATGTTATCTCCATATTTAGGTTTCATCACATTATAATGAAAATCATACATCAAATGCTTCGAAAGATCTAATATGCTTATTCCCACATAGATGGGTTTATTAAAGACTATTTTTTTCTTATACATGAGAATAGCACATAGGTTTTCAGTAAATATGGTTCGTTCTTTGAAGTTTGGCTTTGCAATTCATTTTTCTACTTTTTTAGCATCACAACATAATCTTATGCCAACACGATTTCTTATATTTTCCATTGTCTTACCAAACACAGAGTTGTTCATTAGTTTAAAAAAGTCCTTTTCGAAATCATTAGTTGCTTTAGTTCTCATTCCAGTATTCAGATCTATGTATTTCTTTAACCAATCTGATTGTTTGAATTCTAATACTCTATGTATCTTTTCGAGTTTCATCCCCATTTTTAAATATTGTTTAATTAAGATTTCTATAATGAAGCACATACTTCTTTTTATCATATAACGTGGTTAATAATTTAGATTGTTTTGATCCATCTGGTATTCTATTCTCTGGAGCTAAAGATAGATCTGAATGCTTTCTGTGAAGCTTCTTTGGGTATTTCAGGTCAACTTCTAATACATATCCTTTTTCATTGTCATCAGGAATATTCATGAAGAAATCAATATTATTTTCATCACGCCATTTAAATCCACCATATGATAAATATTGACTCATTCCCCAACCATACAGATTATTTGCATCTAGATATATTAAATAATTTGATTCCTTGTTTTTATCATAATCTTTCATATACTTGTTATTTGCCTTTCCATATCTGTTAAACATTGAGAAATTCCTCCTCTTATTCCTTTTTCTATCATTAAAATCATATCATAATCAGTCAACAACTGTAAATTTACACCAGTCATCTTTAACATTGCATCCCATGATAATCCAGGTGCTGTGAAATACCATGCTAGGTCCAATTTATAGGTTTTCATGCATACATCTCTAAAATTCTCAAAGATGTCTGCTAGTATCAAAACATCTGTTTTTACATATAGATCTGAATATTCATCCATATTTCTAATCTTAAATGCTTCCCATACGTTTTATGCATGCTCATAATCTTTATCTGTTATACCACATTCATTTAATTTACTATAGAACTCTTTATATTCCTTTTAAAATCAATTTTTCAAAAAAATATTTCCTCAAAAAATTGATGAAACTTTATGGGTTAATTCTACAGAAATAACCACCATTCTTTTGCCTGGACCGCATTTAATCAGAGACAATAGCTTATCTTCGTATTCTTTATTTTCTTACTTACTATGCATTTTGGGTTTAATATACATATCTATTACTTATAGAACTGAGTGAGCCACTGGTGAAGAAATATTTCGTGTAACTAACAAATATGTGCTCCAAAATGAATTAAAATGGAAGGACTGTGTTAGTGTTTGTACAGATGGAGCCGCAGCTATGACAAGCCAAGTGAAAGGATTGTAGCTCAAGTACGTGAAATTAATCCTAACATACAATGTGATCATTGTCTTATTCACTGCGAAACCATTGCTGCTAAATCTTTGCCACCTTCTCTGAAAGTTGTGCTGGACGAAGTAGTAAAAGTCGTAAACTTTGTCAAATCGCGACCCCTAAATTCGTGGCTATTTTCCGTTTTGTGTCAGGAAATGGAATCAGAACACATCACACTCCTGCTACATACAGAAGTACAGTGGTTATCAAGAGGAAAAGTATTAATGCAAATATTGGAACTTAAAGATGAGGTATGTGCATTTCTGACTGTCAAAAGGCACAAGTATGCGGATTTATTCGCAGATGATGAATGGGTATGTAAGTTGGCGTATCTTTCTGATATTTTCGTACACTTGAATGAACTGAACAGAAAAATGCAAGGTAGGAACGAAAATATTCTTACTAGTATGGATAAAATTCAAGGATTTGTGAATAAGCTAAATTTGTGGATACAGAGAATTGAAAATAGTTCATTTGAAATGTTCTTGACTGTATGGTCACTGGCTTCTGGTAATGAAGTGATGATGGATCTAATTAAAGAACATTTACAAATCCTGCAGCAGAGGTTCAAGAAGTATTTTGGAGACGGTACTGAAGATATCGACTGGGTTCATAATCCATTCGTTGCGATTTCAGAACCTCTACCTATTCATTTACAAGAGGAACTCGCAGAATTAAAAGCAGACAGAACATTGAAATTACAACTTCTCGAAGTGCCTTTGGATACATTTTGGTTGGCAGTAAGGAGTGAATACCTGGCTATCTCCGAGATGGCAGTTAATATGTTATTGCCATTTTCTACTATGTATTTGTGTGAACTAGACTTCTCGACGTTGACTGAAATTAAAACATCAAAGAGGGAGAGACTCAGATCCGTCGATGAAAAAATGAGACTAGCATTGTCAACGATTCCACCATGGATCAGCCGTCTGTGTGCAGCTAAGCAGGCACAAATATCACATTGAAAAGGTACGAGTAGAATTATTTATTTTAATAGTGGTAGAAAAGTGTATTTTCTACACTATACACTCTACAGTGAATTAAAGTTCATAAGTTTTAATAAACGCCCGAATTGATGTCTGNTTGTTTATTTTTACAAGCCACGCATTTTTATGTATTCTAAGAAATTATATGTAAAATTAATTTGCTCACAGGTAGGTGTTGATGTCTGTTTAATAACAATAATAATAGGTTAGTGGCATTAAGTAATTCTATTAATAGTATAATATATACATTTTTAAGGGGAATAACATTTTGGTGTGCCATGTTGAGTTGTGTCGAGTTATAGGTGTGCCGCGAGTAGAAAAAGGTTGTGGAACACTGCACTAAACAATTGAATAGATTTAAAATTTGTGTACAGAGGCATGAGAGGGCTGAATAAAGCTCATAATTAGTTTTTTTTTGTATTTTCTTTTAAACTTATGGGGGATTTAACTGAATTTTTTTAGGACAAAATAAATAAATGCCATTTTTTAGACTTTAAAATTTCTTAACTTTTTAACTGAATTTTTAAACATTTATCCAAATTTTCATCTTTCTAAATTTTTGGGGTTGAACTCTCATTATTCTACTACTTATTGACCTGAGAAATTTGGAATAAAATCCAGGTGAGTAACCACAGGAGGTAGTTCATAGTGGGTTGTCCCTCACATCTAGCCCTTCCCATTTTCAGTCTGACTGAATTCATGATAAAAATGGAAAAAAAAAGCTGTCTTATTAACCACAGAGCAAAAAAAAAATTATTATATAATTCAAACCCTAGCTTTATACAAATTAAAGTATTTTAAAAAGTAAAATAATATTTGAAATATCATAAAACTCACCTTTTCTAATTGTCTATGAGCTGATATCTGATATAATCGTATTATTCCATCTAATAATTCTATACAGGCTTCATAATCATCTTTTTCTCCAAATTTTATTGTTTTATCTGGTAACTTTGAATTTTCTGCATTTTGAAATTTAGTATAATAAATTAAAATAAAATAGTAATAAAGATAAATTTATTTACACAAATATATATTATTACTACAAATTAAGTGGCCAGAAATAAAAAAAATCTTAAATATTTGGTATATTATAACTATTTTGTGAATTTTGGCAAAAATAATATATAATGATTTCTGAAAGTAAAAAATTATACCAATTTGATGATTCATATCAATCTTAACTGAAATCTTAATTATTTGAAAACATTACATTCTGTAAAAAAAGCTTTACCTGACTAGAGCAAATCTAATTTACTTATAGTACAGGTAGGCTTCCTACAACGCGGTAGATACGTTCCTTGAAAATACCGCGTTGTGGGAAATCACGTTATAGGAGACACCAACTCAATACAAAAACTGGGATTCGGTTCTAAAAAGAGAAAAACTTGGCATTTGAATGGCGTTTTTAAATTTTTCAAACCAGCCATTGGTAGCCACGAATTTAACACTGGTTTCATCAGCTGACCAGTGGCATAGCATAGTGGGGTCGGCACTTTTAGGGGGCGGCAAAATTTCACAATAAATAATAATAATAATATCTTGTAAAAATTTGAACCATTTCATTTCATATTTTTATCGCACCTACGATTCGGACCGATTGAAATGAGCACGGAATTGTTCATTACTTATTCTGTGACAAAACTGAATTTTAGTCTTTTAAATTGAGATACCTAAATAAGGGGGCAGTAAAATTTTCCTCCGCCCCGGGCGGCTGACACCCACACTACGCCACTGCAGCTGACGACTGTCCCATTTGTTTTAAATAATCAAATATTTTTAAGGCTTTGTGTTTAAGTGCAGTTTTATTTAAAGGCAACCGTTTCTTGTTCATATCTTCTACCCATAATATTAGCGCTTGTTCCATTTTTTACATTATAGGTGCTCTTGGACTAGCAACATTTTTCGCAAGAATAGATGATCCGGATGCAACCAAATTTCTAATCTTTTCTCCCGATTGCTTAATCAACCTATAGTCGACTCATTTAAATTAAAATGAATACTAATACCAGCTATCCACTCTTGATTTTTAATTCAATCCAAAATTTCTATCTTTGAAGAGTTATAAATTTCCTTTTTAACGACGGTCCTTTCTTTTCATTCGGCATTGTTATGGCTAAAATTTTTTCAATCAGTTTTGTGGACAGTAAAAATCGCAAAAAATAACTTTTCTTCACTATG